AAGAGTTTAAATTAAAATAGTATAAACTAAAAATATGTACAATTTTGGGGTCTGCTAATTCATTCAGTTTAAAAAGAAAAACACAGATATTTTGCAACTTCTCTTTGATTTAAATGAAATTTAGAGATCGGGAAATACCAGATCATGGACTTTATAAGTCTAAGAATTCTTGTGCTCAGTTTTTTGCCCTTGCTTTTGACACAGGCTCAAACTTGTTGATCCGGTCTGTTACCCAGTTATGGCAAAAGTTTTGTGATTGATATTTTTCATTTCGATAGACTATCTTAGTGTTCTGACACAATTCCAGCTGACTCTCCTTTAAAGCACACACAATTAAAGGGTGTGGACAGGTATGCAAAACCCCTTTAATCGACCTGTGTCTGTCACGGTATGTTAAACCCTTCCCTACTCAAACCCAAGAGATTTTGCAGTGAAAGGCATTTCCCATAACCGCCAGAGCAGAACATGACTGCCTGCACATGCTGTTAAAGAGTCCCTCACTTCTAACATTTGACAAGAACGATTAGTTTTGCATCTAAAAAGAGAATGCTGAGCTATTCTGCATGACTCTGTCATTCCTAAATCTCCTGACGCTCCACCCTCCCCAGCTCAGCATCCCTCTGAGTAAAGCAAGCAGAGCACTCTAAGAGGTGTTGTTATAATTAGGGTGATTATAATGGGGTGGGGAGATATTGTTAGTTGCCAAGGATTTGTGTGTAATATCAGCGAGAATGTACTGTGAAGGAGACACTTGCAATGAGTGGATTTTCACTGTATTATTCTCACCTAATGTTTACTCAAATAGGCTTATAGAAAGTGGCAACACATTTTTCAGCCCAAACCAGACAGGTTCTTTATGAAAGACTACAAAGAGGGCAAATGCCCTCAAAACCAGCCTTCACAGCAGATGCAGGATACATTTTACTTTTTCCAGAACAGATTTCTCTCTATTCCTTCTTCAGGATAGAGAAGGTGAGAGAAGAATCTCCTTCCTTGGATCAACTTGCATTTGCCTCCTCTGCCCTGACCCTGCTAACCCCTCCGCACTTGCGTGTGTTCCACTTGTGCTCACACAAAGTCCCACTGACTTCAGTGAGAAAACATGTGGGAATGAAGTATAACTGCAAGATCGGCTGCTTCGGCTCTTCCTCTGCATTCTTGTGCTTCACTGCATGCACTGCAAGAAGTCCCGTTAGCTTGGACTGTAATGATTCCCAAGGGCTGGATCTGTCTTTTTATCTGTATCTTGCAGAGCACTGGGAACACCGTTGGCACTTTGCTAATACATGCTATAAACATATATAATAAATGACAGAGGTAACTTCACATCAATCTCTTCATAATAGCGCACATAGCATTACACCAAGAGAAGCCCTAGACTGCTTTTCAGAAAACATCAGCATCATCTGTCAGAATAACAGGTGCGTTAATGATCCAGCCGTCCTCAAGCAGGTTTGATCTTGCCTTGGAATTTAAGTAGCTAGTGTGTCTACAAGAGACTAACAAGGCTGAGCCACTGTGCTTTTGGTGTGATGGGATGTTACCCTAGATGAAAGATCAGACATATTTTCCAGTGTCTTGGCAAGATTGAATAGCAAGATCTAACTGATTTATATCTCTTCAGTAATCTCCCTCCCTGTCCCTACACTGTCAACAACAAGAAAAACAGCTCATCATTATGAACTACGGCTAGGAGCTGCCTCTTAACAGTCAGGGGAGCTCCAGAGACTCACTGTCAACCCAATTATTCTAATCCAGTGTATTCAATTTAAAAGGCATCATCAATGGAGAGCAGTGCTGCAAGACTCAGGTAAACGATTCTTTGACGTCAATGATAAGAAAAGTTGAACGTACATGGTAGTAGTTCTCTATCTGCAGTTTCTGTACAAATAGGGTAAGGGTAGAAAAGATGTCCTTTTTCCAGTGGATAGGGGATCATTCTGAAAGCTGAAAAGAAAACAACACCGTGCAGAAGTTACTGTGTGTGTGGCAGTCACTGGACATACTTAGCTATATTTACAATTTTGAAAAACAAACACAGACAAAACATAACATTTATGTTTGGTTGCAAACAGCATATAAATTGTTTAATGAAATGCCAAAATATAAAATACAAAATATAAATCTACACTTAGCTTTTAATCCTGCAAACACTTATGTGTATTTTTATTCTTGGGAGAAGGCTCATGAGCGTCAAGTGAGACCACACTACAAGTACATACATAAATGTTTGCATGATCAGAGCTCATTGTACTTATAATTCCATAGCCAGATTTACACATTTTGTCTTAGGCTTTTAGGCTGCAGAATTTTAAAATTTCAAGGGAAAGAAGTGTATCTGATATAACAGGTATAGCCTACGAAAATGACCAGCCAAGCTTGTGAATTCAGGCCAATACTCACAACCTCTGTACCTCAAGCATAATAAAAGTTTTGCATGGAAAAAAGTACACTACTTTTTTCCCATCGCACTCCAGCAAACCAGGTAACACCGATGACTCAAGCCCAGAGAACCATGTTTCCAACACAGCCATGTTTTCATTTTATACTTGGCAATCAAAGATTAATACTGAATTATTAAAACCAGGTTCATCACATGCATTCTTTTTAAATGTAGCAGATCAAGTCAGGTTCCCAATATAAATCTTCAGGTCATGGATTAAATAATCTTATGCATTTTTAAAATTGAAAATAGTAACAGAGAGGGAGGGAAATGGATTACTAAATCCGGACAGTGATGATGTCATAGGCCATCTGAGTGTGGTTTATGGAAACATCAGAATACTTGACTGAATTATAGCTTTGCAATCAAGGCATCCTTTTCCATTATCCTATATATTATTCTCACTGTTAAAATGCCATCAACGTGTTATTCTCACTGCTTCTATGAACATCAGTCACTGAAGCAATATTTTCCTCAACAGATGTCCTAGAAGCACTGTATATTTCAGACGTTAGGTACAGCCCACCACCACACAATAACACTCCATTATCTCTTGCTCACAAGGCAACCGAGGAATCGGTTTAAAATACACAATACCTCAATATTTTCAGTTGTGCACACTGCATTGGAAATATAGTTAGCCGTATTTTTTGTGCAATTATATGAGTGCATTTATTCTTGATTACTATGTTTAAAGCAATAGCAAAGAAGGCAGAAATCCTCAAAGACTGTCAACCAACCTGGGCTGTAATGCTCTTCCACTATTAAAACCCCCCTCTCCGTAGCACCTCAAAAACCCAAGTACAAACACAATAATCCAAGCCTTGTATGATCTTCACATGCAACAAATGTGAGTGTCTGTCCAAAATCATATGTGGAGAGATGTTCAATGCTCATTACTTCAAAATCACTAACCCAAATTTTCCCTTCCAATTTGGCTTAACATTTAAACAGACAATCAAGCCTCTTCTGCCTTACCCTAAATCACAGTAGTATTAAGATTCAAATCAAAATAAAAAGGGATGGCAAAGATGTTGCTTTTATAAAACAAGTGAAAAATGTCTGAATAGATTTTGCTGAATTTAAACAGTCATCTTTGACATGAGACCAAATATGGAATATTTACAGCAAAATAGTTTATTTAGCAATGTTATCAGCCATGGAAGAAAGTGCTCTGGTTCATCTGTATCGTTTGTGTTTACACAGGTACTTCTCTGCCTTGCTCTTACAGTATTATCTGACCCTATTTTACATTAACCAATTCAGGTAGCACAGAGGCTGTTTGCCATTCAACCGTGTGCTCGTTGTAAAAGCTACCGCACGATGTGAGAACCCCGAGGTTTTTCTTCTTCGTGCAAACAATAGGAAACATGACACATGTTTAGAAACCGACAGTGACAAACAAGCACCTCAGACTCTTTTGAAATTTGGTTACACTTGAAACTACAGACCTTCTGCACAGAGCACCTGGACCAAACCCAGAGCAACGTTTCACGGGGTGTCACTTGGGCTTTTTTAGTTGTACTATGAATAAAACTGTACTTTGACTGATCGAATGAAGACAGAGCAGGAAACAACCAACATTCCAGTTTGATGACGATCATTATTTTTATAACTTCACTTTTTTCAACTGTTGAATGTAATTTGGGAAAAACACTCTGTGGGATTTTCAGAGTTCAAAATATCACAAAGACATTTCTGCATAGATTTTGGTAGAGGCTGTCTTAATTAGGAGTGACCTTATTCTCCTCATAAGCATTCAAAATGTACCCCCCAAGTGACTGATTTAATGTACTTAATTCTGCCCAATTCCCACAAGGTCGGAATTGAATAGTGTATTAAATTCCTACATACAAGCTACTAAAGTGAGACTTTAGTACTTGTGGTTATTTAAGCACACTGACAGAACAGTACACTTTAAAGACATGGCAAGTACATAAATAGCTAGGAAGAAAGTGAGGGCAACTGACCATGTACTGTATGTAGACTGTTGGTTAGAACTACTATTTAATTAAATTTAACTTCTCTGTCATGTCTCCACTGGTATTAACTGACAATTGTGCAGAGATGCCAAGGAAATCTTTTGCAAGTAAAGGACATCAGAGCGACATAAATAGTTCACTACATCTGTAAAGAATATTACCCAGACTAAGATATAGAATCATAGAATTATAGAATCATTTAGGTTGGAAAAAACCTTTAGGATCATCAAGTCCAACCATTAACCTAGCACTGCCAAGTCCACTACTAAACCATGTCCCTAAGTACCACGTCTACCCGCCTTTTAAATACCTCCAGGGATGGGGACTCAACCACTTCCCTGGGCAGCCTGTTCCAGTGCCTGACTGCACGCTTTCGGTGAAGAAATTTTTCCTAATATCTAATCTAAACCTCCCCTGGTGCAACCTGAGGGCATTTTCTCTTGTCCATATGGACCAAAAGTTATGATTATTGGATTAGATACTGGTGAAACCATTAAAACCCATGGGAGTCTTCATGCATGAGCAAAATCTGAACAAAATTATTGAGGACTGGTGCACTATTCATCTCGCTCTGAAATCACTGAGCAATATGAATTATGTTTTTTTCTTTAGAGGTTACGCAACAATAATAATTTACATCTTTACAGGCTAGTATACAAATATTAGCTAATAAAATACATGATCTGATTGCTGTGGAGGTAATACGGAGAGGAATCAGTTAATGTAGTTGGATGGGAATGCCCTACACTGCTTTCAGGCACAGATGACTAGATTCCCTACGTGGCAGGAGGACTGCAGGGCAGCCAGCCTCCTGTGCCAAAAGCTGATCCTTGTAAACAGCCCCTTAGGGACTCCTCAGCCTGACAAAGCAAAAGAAGATCTATTCAGGATACTCCCTGAAAAATACTGCTCCATAACAATAGGATAATGAGCCTTGGGCTAAAGGACTTCTGCAAGCATCTGGAAGAGGAGAAACACTACGTAAAAGCAAACCACTGAAAATAAGCCACTGGGAAGGAAGTTATGACAGAGAAAATAATAGTCTGGGAGAAATGACAGGAAAAGAGCAAGCAGGTAGGACAGAGAACAATGCAGCAGAGCAAACCCCAGGTGGCAATTGCATGGATTACTGAGCAAGGTGTTCTATACACCTAGAAATAAAGCCATCGCTTCCTCAGGGAGCCTACACTGCAAATTAGGCAAGTTCAGGCCATTTAATACAGTGACTGAGACAGTAAGTCACTTTTACAACGGAGGTATTAAGTGCATTTCTGTAGGAATTATCATGGTGACAAACTGTATCTTTTATACCAAACCTAAATGAGAACAGCAAACGGAGGAAGGAAAAAAAATGGTGATATACTAACACTTGGAGAGGCTAAAAGAGAACAGGAGAGAGCAGAGCAGAAAAGGGGAACCAGATTACAGAAAGAAAAATCTGCAATAAAAAAGCCCACAGAGACTGATTCTAAATGGCACTTTTTAATTCTCTGGAACCTGAAAGGAGCACATCTCAAAGACAGGATAAGATAATTTAGGTTAGAAGGTTCGTGTATGACTCCAACCTCCTACTCAACGCAGGGTCATTTTCAAAGTTAGGTCTGGTTGTGCAAGGCCATGTCCAGTTGAGCTCTGAGCATCTCTGGGGAGGGAGACCCCACAGCCTACCACCAACCTGTTCCAGTGCATCACCACTCTCATTCTGAAAATATTTTCCTTATGTCTAAATGAAATGTCTCTTGCTGCAGCTTGTGTCTACTGCCTCTTGTCTTTTTGCTGTGCCCTTCTGAGAAGACTTTGACCCTGTCTTCCATATTATCTCTCCATTGGGTGGAGCAAGACAGCAACTGGATCCCTCCTTCACCTACCAGCAGTCTTTTCCAGGTTGAATAAAACCAGCTTGCTCAGCGTCTTTTCCTACTTTGCATGTTCCAGCCCCCTATACATCCTAGTGGTCCTCCACTGGACTCACTCCAGTTTGTCAATTAAATATTAATGAATAGTATAAAACAAAACAGTATTTTATGTTGCTGTTGTTGGGGTTTTTTTCTGCTTATAAGGCACTTTCATAATTTCCCTATATCAAAGCATTCAAATAATGACAAACAAATCTCTACAGCTCCGGAATGAAGAAGGTAAAATATTAATTCCCTTATCCACAAGTAAGGACATATGTCACACAGAAGATGGGAATTTTTGTTCAGTGTCACACAGAAAACACAATCCAAGACTTCAGAACCTTTTTCCTCATTAAATGAAGTTTGTATTTTCAGTTTGAATTTCAAATATTTCAATGCTGGTGAGGATATAACTGACGTCCAAAAGTCCCACATACCATACTTCACAAAAAGCTATTATTTTTGCATGAAATTCCATAAAAATATTTTATTAGCTCTTTGGTAAGAAAGAGAATTACTTACTGCCTTCCCATGTACAGTGTAAGAGATTCAATGCCCCCTCTACTCTTTTCCAGTGTTGAAGATGAAAGAAAGCATATGCTATTGCTTCACTGTCCCCTCTCTTCAGAATATGTTCAGGGGGCAGAATTAAGCTCTTCATTTCTAGTAGATACTGCAATAAAAAAGCAGAGCACAATTATTTCAGAGGTAATAAAAAACACAAAAAGCTGCCTGCAATTCCACAATGCACACTGAAAGGTCTATTTCCCTAAAGTACTTTCCCTCATAAGTGTTTCATCGAATGTGTAACATCACCAACTGCACTTGAAGATAATTATTGAATTATTCCCAAAGACTAAGATATGCTGACAGATGGTTAATGTTCTGCTCTTCAGCTGTAGTAGGGGGACTATAGAGAATATCAAAATGAGATGTCTCTCTTATCAAAGGAGACAGAAAAAAGGGCTCAAAGCAGAAAAGAGAATCTAATTACAAGACCTTTTTAATTACACGTATTTATAATAAAATGAAGAAGACATTAAGCAGTTTGATGCACATAGTCTTTCTGTAAGGAAACACGCAGTACTCATAGTTTGCACACACGTTGCTGTACTGCATTGCCATCAGCTGGTTGCTGAGGCTATGAATATGCAAAGCTGGCAGCCACCTAAGCACCAAGTTACAAAGTAAAGGAAGTTACAAAATGTAACAAACACCTGATGTCCAGGAAAAAAACCCCAAACAAGTACTGGATGTTTAAGCTTGCTACTTGAAATACTTATTGAAAATGGTATGAAAATGAAAAGCACCACTGACTAAACCCACAAGCAATTCTCCCCGTTACTGGATCCCCCATAACAGAAGCAGATGAAACACACAGAGGGTTCATGCCACAGGAGCAGACAGAGGTCCTGGACATTATTCAAGCAGGTGATTTTTCCTCCTTCCCCAGCCCATGAACTAGACCACTACCAGTTCAGCAGACATCATCTCATCCCTGATGTGACTACGTTCCAGCAGAGGGGAAAGATACAGCGGAGGCAAAAGACACATCCATCCCTTGTCGGCATGCTTTGCAGGGCAAGGAATGACAGACAGAAATCACAGGGTGCCGAATCAGCTCCTGTTCGTCAGTTCTCCTCTGAGAAGTGTAACATTTCCCGGCTGCGCGCTGACTGCTCTGCAATAGCATAAGGAAACTGTCGCTCTTTTCCAGGATGCCAAGAGCAAATCTTCTCCCCAGCACACTGCTGAAGTTAAGACAAGAGGCAGCAGGTGAGTCAGGCAGTAGGCAGTCAGGCCCCAACACAAGGTTCGGAAAGGAAAGTTATGGTTAACCATTGGCAAAAAGAGAGTGAGCGTGCAGCCCCATCCACTTCACTGAGGCCTCTGAGCCTACGCACTGGTCTCTGCTTTGGTCTGGATGAGGAGGACTGCAGGACCGAGGCACTGACAACAACCCCGTGCAGGCACCCGGGAGAAGGCAACTTGACACCAGAGGTGAAACAGAGGCGCGGGTGGCCTTAACCTTCCACAGCTCCTGTTAAACGCTGACTTTTGTGAACGGGACACCGCAGAGCGTGCTTGAGCACCCATTCAGTGTGTGAGCGGGTGCAGAAAAGAGGAGAAAAAGAGGGCAAAAGAAATAAATGAGAATTCAAAATCAGCCTTGGGGCAAGGAAGAGGAAAGGCCAGAGGGAAATGAGCACAAACACCATGATGTTGTGGAGGGCATCCTAGAGCTAGTCACCCCTTCACCTGAAGGAGCCTGGAAGGAGCTAGCAAACAGGTAAAGGACTTGAAGAGACTGTCATCAAAGCAGAGAACTGTCAACCCTGGGAAACATACAAATACTTCAAAGAGGAAAGAGAAATCACCCGTGTTTCTGATGCAGGTAACAGTATTAAAGGAGGAGAAACTGAATTAGCAGTGGGAGTCACATGTGTGATACTTGGATTTTCTCTAAAGCCTTTCAGAAAAATTTGAGAGAGCTGCAGAGCAGGTGGATTAATGGAGGACACTGCAGTTCAGTAGGCAGGACAGGGGATTAAGGGTGACAGAGAGAACAGAATAAAGAGCTGACAAGAGGGAGGGAGCTGCCAGGCTTACAGAGATACTGCAAACGTTCTTATTCACTGCCCCAATGCATGTGTCACCCTTTTAAAAACACAGATTATACCTGTTGAGCAGAATGGAATACAGCTGCAAGAGTTGCAGGTTTCTATCTGTTTTATTAATTTAGAACATAACTCTTATTTCCACATCTTTTTGCAAAAGTAAATGAGAAAGTAAGTTCTCCAACCCCAAAGCCATGTCACCATCTGTAGGAAAAGAATAACCAGGAAGGAATGTCCTATTTTGAGGAGTGTTGAGATGAAAACATGTTATTTTGATTCTTATGCATTGCTTGTTATCAGCAATTAAAAACAAATCAACTCAAAATACCAGATGGAAGGATATATCTTGACACTTGCAAATCATTCTTAGTCCTCACTCAGTTGCATTGACTTCGCAGTCTGCATTTTTCTCAGTTTCAGAAAGAAAAAACTATTTTTAAAAGTTGTTCAGTTCAAAAATGTGGGACACTCCTCCCTCATTACTCTATCACAGCTACTTTCCCAAACAAAAAGTCCATAATCTGTTTTTTTGATATTCAAGAAGACCCACACATAAAGTTGATGGATGGCTCAAGTCTCATTTGGGCCTCATAATAGTTTTTGTTTTATGCACAAAGGCCAGCCACACCTTTTGGGCATACAAGCTGTCAATGAATTTATTCTGGAGGCATTTCCA